ATGAACAATGGAAGGGAACGAGAATTTAAATGTATCGGTATTGGTACGTGAATGTGGACGTAAGCTGAAGGTTGTATGTGACAACCGGTGTTGGATTGATCTTGCTCGCGTGGACTTGATTCAATTGTTCAGGACAACAGATCCTGAAACAAAGAAAGACATCACACAGGAAATTGGAATTACTAAGGTGAGAGATCCTGAGAAAAGAGCCAAAATTGCTAAGACTGTCGGAAGCATTGTACGAAAGCTCGTATCTTCACCGAGAACCCCTGCTTGAATTGAGAGTTTATTAGATTCTAAGTATCAAAATACCTAAAATCGTTCTGAGGCCCTTAAAACTGAACCGTCCAAAGCTGGTGATTGTTCTTTGTGATGCGCCGCGCGTCTAATTTCTCATAATCGTAGCAGTTTATGTGCGAAAGTGAGTGATGAAGTAATCGACGAGTGATCGAAGTTTAAGAACGAGTAAGTGGGTGCAGCGGTGGAACTGCTGACCTGAAGCGTGCCACTCCACAAACAATATGACTACCAATAATTTCACCCCATAGTGACTGACTGGTGGACTTGGATAGGAGATTTGACCCGCGATCGGCTCATGTGACAGTGGCGTACAAAACATTGCCCCACCTTTCCAAAATAACAGCTATTTTCTACAGCGTGGAATAGAAAAGTGGCAGTTAACTTTAGGTGAGGACAACTTCATATTGAATGATTTTTCGCTAAGTATGTGTTGTTTTAAACCACTGCTGAATACACAGCCAATGCAGCAACAACCGTTGACTGGGAAGACCGATTGTTACTCGGATACCGTACTTCCCAAGTGCCAACTCCGGACGCAACTCCAAAGCTGCTGACAATACGCCCACTGTTCGCTTCGTCGCTACACTGGAGAAAAAACTTCAATTTTCCCCTTGAAAACTTCCTTCACCTTCGTTCATAAGCCCCGCCAGTAGGCGTTACCCTTAAAATCTTCAATGTCACCTATAGCGCGATAACACATCAGTTGATCCCGGACTTTGACTTAAAGGCAAAGTTCGGGCTCAGACCCACTTAATGAGCCTTTACGGTGGCTAGAAGCGCTAGGTACGCAAGTGCAGAGGTCGCGTCACTTCCCTACTTCGAAAAGCGTTACTTAGACGCTAGGCGCTAAGAACTTTGACACGCTCCACCTGTTGCGACACGCTCCGCCCACCGCTCGATATCTTGTCTGCGTCGCAATGTTGATCTGCTATGCTCTCTCTACTCGGACTTCTCTACCGCTCTCCGCGCTCACATTATCTCTCATCTCCCTGCCGGCCTTTTGAACTTCTCCGCAGCGTAGAGCAAAAGGCTCGTATTTCCTGTGTATTTCACGATTTTTTTCCTTTTTTCTCCACTTCCCACTCCTACTACTTTCACATTTGAGTGGAATTACCTCATCATTTCAATCCTGAATTTTGCCTTTAAAATAATATGAAAATGATAGTGGAGTATGTATGATCTCGCAAAATATTACTTGATATCTAGCTTTATCCACGAGCACCTTCGGTTCGATCGCACTTGTTACACAGCCGCCTTTACAGCGAACATTCTTCAGGGCTGTAACTCGAATTTGGATCGTTTGCCTTTCGGTGCCTGGAAACACTTTGCTTAAGGTATCAATGAGCTGTATTAACATCGAATGATACGGTATCCGAGTCGTTCACCATGGCGTAGGGCGTCGTACTGTTCGTGACAGTGGCGGTCACGAGCGTATCGTCCTTGTTTTCCATGGCAGAGTGCCGTCAGTGTTTCCACAATCCGACTCTATAAAATGTCTCAGCTGAGTCAACTGGAAAATGCCATCTAGTGAGAAGCTCCCAGATGAGAGAAATTTGTCACGGAATAGTTCCCTTACTCGCTTTTCACAGAGTGTGCCACCGTAGCCAAAGGGGCAGATGCATGTTGCGCAATTTCTCGGATTAGGGGCTCCGGCGTTCTTGCATTTAGCCGTAGTTGCGAGTCCATTACATGGAGCTGGAATAGCAAATAGGTAGGTGTCTTGCAGAAATAACAACAGATATTTGCTTAATACTCTTATATCACCTAAACTTGTGGCGCAATTGACCGGTGTTATAAGATGTGCGCTCGATAAAGCCCGCTGCAGCACTGATCAGGCATCTATCATGAACTTTGATTAGAGACCTCCCAGGATCAAGAAAAAACAGGGAAGCGGCGAATACGAAAGCGCGCGGAGCCCGTTTCTAAGCGATTGTTCCGCATGTATGGGCTGTCAGTGCCTGCAGCCCACTTGCTGACGTTCACAGACTGTGGCGAGGATGAGCCAGGTCAATGGGCGTGCCGAACGATGGGCCGCGGAGAGAGGGCATGCTAGGTCGCGAAGGCTTATCTTTCAGGGTTGGTGGCTGTCCACACCTTTAGGGGTCCGCCTGCTTATTCGGTGGCTTCCCTCCACCGAACTTTCGCACTCCGTAGATCTCCGTTAGTTACCAGTTTTGGAGATTTAGCAGCAGGCGGCTGCGTCGACTCGCGAACAGCAGGTCCAGGGTCGCAACCCACGCTCAATACCCACACTATCGAAGGAAAGTGGATACGCGGCGAGTACGGTTTGAACCTGATCATGCGCGGATGCTCTATTAAACTGTATATCATGTTTTGCGTAACTTGCTTCAAGAATGTAGCTGGTTGAAAGAAGGTTACCGTCAAATGGCTGTTTGACCCTGTAAGGAATGCAAAACATACCATTACAGCTTATGACCAATTTATCATCTGAATGCTTCATAAAATGTGATGGTTTTTGAAGCCCACTGGGTCTCGAAGTATCAGGCTTGAAAGAACTTGAGTTACCCCTCTGTGGTAAAGCTGAAGTAAGTGAGCATAAGTGTATATAAAGATGCGGCAAGGCCGATAAAAACCCCCGGAACACCGTAACAGAGCACTTGCTTGAGCGTATTTCTTTCACAAGCAGAACGAAAGTGTACATTGGCGTAGAATAGCTTAAAGGCACGTTCACCTGTTCCCATACTCAGCGTCGTAGGCGTAGGAACGACCGTGGATGTTGTTTTCCTACTGCAGTGGTGAAGACCGCTAGGGTTCGGTGACACACAATCCACGCTTCCTGAGGAAAGCCGCCTTCGCCGTGGCGTACCAGTGATCATGCTAGAGAGCGGGGCTCGTTGCCGGCAATGTTTGCATGGGTTCGAACTGACACTGCAGTGCTAGAGCTAAACTCGTGAAACGCCGAAAACGCCCAACCGCCCCTTCCACATTCCAAGGTGGAATGCGGTTGAAAAATAGGATCCTTGTTCCGGAAGTGTATGGGGGTTCCTCTTGCTTTCTGTATTCCCAGGACATCTGCAGTCTCCACCTGACGCTCTTCACGGCCCATTTTATCCGAATTGATTTTAGATATGTGTCTAGAGCTTCCTTGAGAACGGATCTACTTTCAACAATTCACCACCGTTTTCGGGTGCTGCTAACTGGTCGCGTAGGGAGCGTTGTTGGAACTGTTGCAAAATGTTTCAAACTAGGCGTTTGCTTGCGTAATGCATATCGCTCCCGTATTCATATGGTGTATTGTCGATTGTGTAGGTCTGCTTGCCAAAGTTGCCTTCATAACCTTCCTTAAAGTAACAATACAAGAGATTCGCGGGACACGTATCGATAATGACGTTTTTTGGTGAAAGTTAACCGAAGTACAGAAAAAATGAGAAAACGTTGATCAGGGAGACAGGCTCCCGTGCTGATCAGCCAGTGAGAAAGACGCGAGTTGGACGAGTTATCTGAACCTGCCCGCAGTAAATGCGCTCAAATTACAGTTGCTGGCAACTGTTGAACATGATGAAGCCTATGAATTCAAGAATTGTTGACATGAAAAAAACATTTAAAATAAAGAAAGGATTCTAATCTCAACCAGCGTCACCACATTGATTGCTTTACACGGAAGAGTTCAAATACTCTCTGTGGTCCTGAAACGATCACGGATGCCGACGCAGCCAATCACCGCTGGCAAGTGGGCGGTCCTGGGGAATTTCCGAGCACACCCATTTTTGAGGAGCTTTACGCCCTTTTTGGGATTCGGAGGTGTGTGTCTGTTATTTTTTCACTTCTATTTAATATCCGTAGGGATTAGTGGGTCTGTGACAAACAGATTGTTTTCCATTGTTATCCATCTTGCCTTCAAACAACCAGTATAATCCTCATGCTGAGATTGGTTTCAGTTTTATCACTCTGCTAGCTGTGGTTCTAGCCCAATAAAGCTTTGACTCGTGTTCGGACGGCGAGCGGAAGCAAAGTCAAACATATCTATCACCGCAACTAGCATTTGAAACCCAGACCCTTGCCTGGATTTTGGTTCAGAATAATTCCTAAAAATTGAAAGGGTAGGCATTCAACGAACTCATTGGGACACCGTGTACAGCCGCTTCATTCACTCTGGCTAAAACGAGCTCTTGGTTTTTTCGAAGTTGGCAAACTAGTGCCAGACTCGTTTGATGAGCAATAAACACCTTTAGTCTATTAGTTTTCACAGTTTACTCAAAGGAGGATTTCGCGATAAGTTCGGAAGCGAAGAAGAGGAAACAAACGAAATGCAGGAGTTCTTCAAGGGTGTGGAACCGTGGGTGTTGCGCAATGAAATGTAGCAGGGCTATACCCGTACCGCTCCACTCCCAACGGTTGGCTGAGCTTCGTCTTCTGACTCTAGCCGTGCAGCAGAGAGAGAGTGTTAGCTTTAATAAGGGCACCACCGATGAAGGTCGCTAAATCTAAGATCAACGGGTAAGGGAGGTGTCTTATATCTCGGGTTCTGAACGGTTTCTCAAAGTTTTGTTCTACATCGCTGCACCAATTCTCCTTTGATATCTAATGGACAGCCTTTTCATAATAAATTTTGTCTTTAATGCCATATCGCAATCAAACGCCACCACGATTTCGACGGGGTCGAATGCGTGCCGCATCCCAGGGTGTATTCCACAACACCGTGTGCTCAATCCTTTGTATTTATTTCTGGAAACAGGTAACTATGAACTAACCTTGACATTGGTCATGTCGACTTTAATGTACGTGTCTCTGTCTTTCCGACTGTGCATGTGCAGTGAGCCAAGAGCGTGCGTAAATTCATGGGCCACAGTGCCTACCTAAAAGCACTGTGTATTGCTGAATAATGTTGAGAAATTCACTACGAAAGCTCCAGTCCATGACGACCAAACAGTATGCTGGCGTAAAGGCGCCAGATACATCGCCGTGACATACATCATTTCTCAAAGGCGGAAACTCACCACCATGCAGTAGCCACCTAGTGATAAGTCTTGTTCACCCCCAATCATTCCTATACTCGAATAACAGCCGCCTCCATTGAACACCCTTATGCGATTCGTTGCTGTAGCATCTTCGATAAAATTGATGCATGTACGAGCCTGGAGGTATTTCAAGACTGTTCTGACGTAGGCTCGATTGACTTCGGCTGAAAATGTATACTTCGTGTGAATTTAATTGGCGGTAACTATGTCATTAAGTCTTGAAAACTTACTTATGGTAGCGTCGAAATAGTAGTAGACTTTATTGTTCGCCCATCGAGTGGCAAATTCGTAGATCTGACGCTTTGCACGGATAGGATTTTCAATTTCGTTCTCGAGTGCACTCAGTTGTTTCCTAAATTTCTTCAATATGCTCAACCGTAATCCGCTTCGCAGTTCCGCCAACATGTTGTGGAAAGCATTGCAGGAAACGGTTGTTGTAAAGAGCAAAACGGCCTAGAACTCAAGAAGAGCCTTTTTTTGGCGTGTTGTTCCCGATTAGAGCGCTGTTCCGCATCAGGTTGCTCACGTGACACTGTGCGAGCGCCTCTGCTCTCAATCTCTGCTAAGAACGTAGAGGCTGTTGTAAAGATTCTGCGACTCTTACGTAGTTTGACGCGGCGTTTGGTGGGCCGGCTCGAATGAGATTCTGTAGACGCGCTGGGGCACATGCCCTGACACGAACGAGCACGTGCCACACCCTATGGACCCCTGCACTTACACAAATTACGACAGTGCGCTAGGTCTCACAAAGTGAATTTATGGAACCATTTACTGTGGAAAAAGTGAACTGTTGGTCCTCCAACATATGGACGAGTTACGTCGTCTTGCTCCGCCCATCTCATTTCAAGGAAAATCATGCTCATTGGAGCTTTAGCGACGGTTTTCTTTGCTTCCTTTTTTCACTTTTAGTTTTTGTCGACTTTAATCAAGAGCGCTGTGCTGCACGGTGTGCTTTTTATGCCTTCACAATTGTGTGGCGAAATTTAGGTATATGCTTTCTCAGGGCGATCCATGTCTATACATTTACAGAAATGGATGACTTTGTGGCTTCCCATTCCGTTTCATCTGGCGTGCTTTTTCAGTATGATCTAAGATTTTTTAGTGAAAGATTGATTCAACTTATCTCAGGAAAAGAATTATATCACCATCGAATAAATACTCATCGACTCCTTCCACACGATTCGCCTCCTCAATAGACGCCCCATCTTGAGGTGCTGATAGACTTTCTCCTTTAATCATCTGAAAAAATATTTATCTTGTACTGACTACGGAAAAGTGCTTTGACCTGCCGAAATCCTCACTTTCATATCTATAGACTTTCCAAGATTTGTTAGCCCTTTTACTGTTAAAGTGACATTCCGTCCCGATCCTTTCAAGCCAAGGTTCCTGAGCCTTTCGTGACGTTTCTCGAGTCAATACCTCTATAAGCCTGAAAAAAGTCAGATTCTGCATAGAAGTGGTATATGAAAGTTCTTGCGCTTAATTTGATTTCAGCACCGCCCCAAGCTCTCACGGTCGACCGACGTTCGCCAATGTATTTGACCAACGCCGTGTGCTTAACGCACTATTCACGATGCGGGAGGCGGTGCGATTTGATACGTTTTGGACGTCATCGGTCCGACCAATAGCCTTACGCGTAGCTGCGGGTGAAGGTGGGAACCGCCTCTGACACACATCAACCAATGATGCACCTGATGTTCATCTAAAAAAATGCATGCCCGTGAACCACTTGTGAATCACCGCGTTAGTGGATCTTCTCGGAAAATATTGCATCCTTCCCAGCAAACATCATGCCAATTTGGTGATCACTACAAGCAACTATGGATCGTATCAGGCGAGGCGTGAAAGGGATCGGAGTAATAGCGTGCGATTTTGCAGAGTAGAGACAATTCGATTGAAGAAGTGAATGTGAGTGCAGTGCAGTAAGTCAAAAAACCAGAAAGTGTTCCAGTGAGGCACTCCGGCACAGGGAATGTTCAATGAACTGATCGCGAAATGTGCTCATGAAAGTTGATCAAGACAAGCCTGTTAGATAACGTGTGCAGAATCGGTCCAAATGTGCTGAGAGTTTTCCTCGGATAGAGATAAACACTTCTCTACAGCTGTGCAAGTATCTTCATGGCAATTACTCTTTAACAATAAGGATGTCTTACACTTCCTCCCACCAGTACCTCTTTGTTTGATTTTCAAATATGCTCCATCCGACACCCACCTTCGTCAGAGCGATTCGTCCTTTTTCAGTGAGGCCGATGCTGCCGTCGAACAATAGCGCAAGAAGTAGTAACTTCGCAATCATATCACGGCTGACGTGAGGTCCAAACCTGCAATAATAGAAACATGCAGAAGAAATTCCTTAGAAAAATGTATTTAGGCCTGGAGGAGATAGTTAATGCCATAAAAGAAAAATTATATGATCCTATCTTCAGAAGGGAGAGGTGGAATGTGAGGTTGGCAGTTTTTCCTTTGGCTGTACAAAGTTTGGTAAACGTGGAGAAGGTCAATAACATTTAATGAAAGTCTTCAATGTCTACCAAAATTGAGAAGGACTGTTCCCGTTAGTAAACACCCTCGGATACGCCACGCATTCTAATTCCACTTCAAAGTTTAACTATATCCGGATCTGTATCTGACATCTGCAGTGCATCATGGCTCACAGTCACATGCGCTGCTCAGCCAAGCATGAGAGTAACTTTATCCTTTCAGATCAGGTAAGTCAACAGTCATCGGGGGTAAGGCCCAGTTGGCTTGGACAACCCATTAAACGGGAATTTGGTTTCCGAACCGTGCACGCGTATGTAGCAATACTTCCCGATACACCTTCCCTCCCATCTATTGAGAATCCTCCAGCAAATTAAATGCCTGATTGGTCAGTGGCTATTTTTTATTGCGGGAAAGGCAAATGTGAAACCGTATAAGAGCAAAGCTGATTGGTACTTATTTGATGAAAGATTGCCAAATATAAGAAAGCTTCGGCGAAACTCAGCGGTGAGGCCTCCGCGAGTGCAATACTAGTGCTCTAAATAGCAGGTAGTCCCGAATCAGTGCGATTAGAGTGCTAGACATACTCTCCAACAACGCCGTGAACTCTAGCGACCGTTTGAACCCGACCTTTTCTAGACATAGATGACACAGGCAGTGATGAATCCATGTGATCCGGATTAATTGTTCGATTTTTGCACTAATAAATGCGGAGGATTACTCTTCCGAAGGTCACTCTGTGTATGTGGGTCCAGGCTGACAAACCGGAACTCGCTACATATTATAATGCTCTTCCTTCCTCCTTTCTTCAACTTTTTCTTTCACTTTTCCTTTCTATCCTAGCTTCTATTTCCTCCTGGAATATCTTCGTTGTCCACGTAGGAAAGGAGCTGAGCATCAAAGGCGCAAACCGTAAGCAATTTAAGGGGTTTCTGAAGGTCTGACAGCTTTGGAGAAATACCTCTCGCTTTTGGATATTAACTGGCCGCTGGTGGGTCGGTAGCTCCGCCTGCACCTGTTATTCGGCTTTCTAAAACGGGAATGGACCCCACTTAAGCCTTACCAGGAAGGTCTTTCAGGGCGTGACGAGCTTTTTGAAAACGGTCTTTTGCATGATATAGGGGCAGATGCGGGGACCACAGAACCATGTTTAATTTTTCCTGAACGGCCCTCTGAATACCAGAAAAGGGTCCCTAGTTCGATTCCTCTTGGTGACAAATTTTTGCATTTCGAGTTGACGTTCCAAAATTCGCGCAAAATGGAGTTCTGATTGTTCTGGTTGGTTCTAACTCCATTTTGCGCGAATTTTGGCACGTCAACTCGAAATGCAAAAATTTGTTACCACGAGGAATCGAACTAGGGACCTCCTTTTCTGGTATTCAGAGGGCCGTTCAGGAAAAATTGAACATGGTTCTGTGGTTCCCGCATCTGCCCCTATATCATGCAAAAGACCGTTTTCAAAAAGCTTGTCACGCCCTGAAAGACCTTCCTGGTAAGTACGTTATTTATCTTCATTTCTTTTCAGAGGCGGGTCGAAAGTGAGGCGGAGGTAACCGACCAACAGCGGACAGTTAATATTCCAAAACTTAGAGGTATTTCTCCAAAAGCGTCAGACCTTCAGAATTTGACCCTCTTAATTGCTTAGTTTGCCTTTAATGCTCAGACCCTTCCTAGCCGTTCCTTAAGCGATCCACCCACCAGTTTAGTTGGTGGTTTGAGCGAGCTGCGTTGCCACCAGTGGTACAACTGGAGCCAACTCGACTGGAACATAGATTGGCACTTGTGCCACCAACGCATTGCGGTGAACTCGTCATACGTCGCTCTTCGTGCCGTTGTCCGTACAAGAACGAAAATCGAGGGGAATCAACAAAGGGGTGGTTTTCGCGCTTTTGTTGCATGGAATTTCTCTGCGTTTTCGCTACTGACGTACCACGTACCCCCGCTCCCTCGGATCCTGGCAGAAACCTATCACAATAGGTGCCTTCAACAGCTTCAACTTGGAGAGGTCTCTTATTTCCATTCGAAAAGTCACGACACAACTTACAGGTCAGGGCGACTTTTATTTTTAGTAATTGAAGAGCAGCTTGCCGTCAATGCAACACAACTTGAGTAACTCCATTCGAGCATGCGTTGGCATGGCTGGCCAGATGAAGGACGTGATTCCTGTGAGCACCTCTCTCCACCCCCTTCCTATGGCCTTGATAGGGCCACCATCGCGTAGAGAAACGTAACCCCCATGTCCCTTGTAAACCCCTATAGAACCTACCATAATAGCTGCCTTTAGTTCAACTTGGAAGGGTCTCCAGTTCCCATTGAAAATGTCACGGCACAACTTATATGTACGTCAGGGTGGCGTTTAGATGGCACGCTTTCAATCAGTACGAAAATCACCAAATCGCCGAACAAATGAAAAATTTACAAGTATGGGTTTGGAAGGCCGAGTACTTGTTCTATAACCTATCAATTCCCTCTTGAAAAAACACCGGAGTAAAACATGCTCGAACGGGATCGAATTAGTGGGGAAGCCTCGGAGATGTCTCAGCACAGTTTCTCGTCAACGACTTTTTGCGTTATCTGCCAAGAATCTTTCGTGTTAGGTGCATCGGGAGAACGATCTTCACGATAGCCAGTGCAGTCTCAACGCTGAGTTTTCTATAGCATGAGGTATGTCTGAATATTCCGGCCTATTTTTTCAATTTTTTTCTCATTTTAAGAAGAAATTTTTGAGTATCACTCATTTATGTGACCAGTTCAAGTTATGTAGGTATGTACCTCTACCGACAAGCTGCGATCCAATAGAACAGGAACAGTTGCTTGAAGAAGTCCACCAGGAGCCAGTCGTCGAAGGGTGAGCGAGACATTTGAAGATATAACCACAGTTTACAGGGAATGTGCTTACTATATATGTATGCGAGTCCTGAGAATGCAGAAATGATTTTTCAGGCTACTACAGAAAGGGAGTATTCGGCTAGCCCTTCTAACATGTGTCATCCTAGTCGCACTAGTCCTGGCGATCCAGAATTACAGTTTCACCGAACAGAACCAGGAGGCTTATATTGTAGAGAACGAAGAGGAGAATAATGACATAGCAAATGAACAACAGCCTATGGCTGATTCTGTGAACGAGGAGCCTGAGCTCAATGTTGACGACCTCTTCCATTTCGAAGTAGGTAGCCTATTCTGCTTTTTAAATAACATTAGTTACATTTTACATACAGTAGCGCTCAGAAGTCTCGGGTGGAATACTGTTTTGCCTACTTTTTTACTGCTGGATCGCTCAGTTAAAATTTTAATATTTTTTGGTGGCAAGCCTTCTTCACTTTACCACCACATTCTTGTTGAGTGGGAGAGAGAGCTAACAAGGGAGGTCGTTCAGGGTGTGCCAAGCTTTTTCAAAATGGTTTCTTGCATGACATTAGGGGCACATGTGGGAACCACAGAACCATGGTTCATTTTTCCTGAACGGCCCTCTGAATACCAGAAAAGGGGTCCCTAGTTCGATTCCTCGTGGTGACAAATTTTTGCATTTCGAGTTGACGTTTCAAAATTCGCGCAAAATGGAGTTTAGCATGAATAATTAGTACCATATTCATGATTAGGACCGTCAGTAACCCTTACAAAAAGACTTAGATTGAAAAAATTGGTGAAAAAGGTGAGACACCAAAACGGCCCTATTGTGACGTGAAAAAATTGACTGCATGGTAAAACAAAACATCAAGCAGATGAATCTCTATTTTTGGCAGCCTTTGTGGTCACTCAAGGTCTAACAAGGCAGGTGGTTCACAGTGTGGGGCGTTTTTTGAAACGGTTTTTTCGCATTCTGTAGGGGCGTAAATGAAGCACAGTATTGTGGACTACAATATTGTGCTTCATTTCCGGTGAGCGGCCCTCTTACGGCCAAAAAGGGTAGCTGAATGTGCGGTGTACGTGCAGTAGAGGCAAGCTCCGAGATCGGCCCGACCAGAAGGAAGGATATCGCAAGGGGAGTGGTAGAGTCCGTACCTACCTACATCATGCAGCTTCTGGCATAAACTTCGCAATTAGGGCGTTAATCCTTACGGGCCTGCAACCATGGATCCCCGTTGCAACGCTCCCCACCCACCGCGACTGACGCGGAGATCTCTGTGCTCTCTCGCGCGCTTGTTGGTCTGCATCTGTCTTCCAAATCCCACAGCACTGAAGGTTTGAGCCCTAATTCCAGCGTTTCCAATTGCTTCACTGGTTCGCTTTGCAACTTTTCAGTTACAGTTCGCAGCTCAGCTATTACTACTAAGCAGGGTGAATATCGGTCGAGGAAATCCTCGACAGGGGGGTCGTACTTGTCAGGCTGGGTCATGGGGGTCGTACTCGTGGGGGTCAGTAACATCAGTGGCATCGTGGTGCAGATAGGAGCAAGAGGGTGTAGCGCAGCAGAAAAGGAAGATATGTGAGAAAAATGATATAATGTTCTTTGGTTCAGTTCTCCATTCCTCTATCTTTATTAGAAGGGCGTATTTGACAGCAATACAAAGGAAGGAAGTGCATCCCCCAAGCAAGACAGCCACATATGCACGCGCGCTGCATGCCCCTATCTACCGTCCGCCATCGTACATAATACCGGTAATAATAGTAATAATGGCACTGTTGTTAGGGACCCTGTCGCAAAAACGACAACAGTGAAGAAAAGGCTCTGAGCAAATGAAGCTGTTTCTCAGGCGATAAGAGTTACGAAATGTGTTTACTACATTGCACTTTCTGTCACTGGTCGTGATCATATAACACCTTTCAATCGATTCGTGGCCCAGGCAGAGTCGGATGATGACGATTGCCCCTTTTCGT